CCTGAAGCAAAGGTGGCATTTAAGGATTTGGAGGAGCAGTTGTGATTAAGTAGGACTTTTCATTTCATAAAAAGAAGAAAATACATTTCTGTACTCTGAAGATGTGTTTTATCAGATCTGTAATCTGATAATCAATTTTAATTTCCTTGCCTGTGAAAGCTTTGTGTAATATGGAGGAACTTCAGAAGATAAAGTAGGTTGAGCTATCCAGGGAGCCATTATTTCTCAAAGAAAACTCTTGAATCAGAGCCAGAAAAATTTTCCTGTTGGATGCCTTTCCACACCTCTGTTTTGAAGCAGGATGTTGATTTTTTGATCTTAGAGTTGCATTTCAGGAAAATACTTGATTCTTGTTGTGAGGTCTTTATTCTAGAAGTTGTGTTGTAATTTTGGTATCTCTGAAAGCTTTTTTCCCAGTACTGTTCTGTGCCAGTATCTTTTTTTAAATGATTCTAAATTTTCTTTTCTACCATACAGAGATTGTTTTAGGTGTTGTCTTGTTAATGTCTCTCCTTTAAATGCCAGATGTGTGTAATTCTTGATCATGACTTCAAAACATCATTATTGTGCTCAAATTTTCAGCCTGTCTTCTTTCTTTAAAAAAACAAATTAAAAAATCAGTTTGGAATGAGTGAGTCATACTATTCTGTTGTAGGAGCGTTTTATTTGTTAGGAACTATTCTTATGCACATTTGCTAGATTTATTACCCAGGGGTTACTTGGGCAACCGGTGCTTGTAACGAGCAGAACACATTGAGATTCCTAAGGAGTGGTCCAAGAATGGGCCAATTCTTTTTTCCTCTTTCAGGCTTTGCTAATAATTTCGTCTCTTTCCTGTGTCTTCTTCCTTTCACCATCACTAAAGGATATTTATTAGACATGTCCATTACCTTATTCTAAAGGAGCCTTCATACTCCAGCACGGCTTTGAATGTAGAGGAAATTAAATTTAAGGTAATCTTTAGGGAGTTTTTTGTCCTCTTACTCAGTTCAAAAGAAAAGAGCTTCTGAATTATGTGGAGTTTAAAGCCATGTGAATTCCTAGTGACTGAAACATAAAGTAGTAGTAATCCTCCTGTAGATAAAACTGAATTCAACAGATGTGCTGTAGAAGAGAAATTCTGTTGAAGCAGTATATGACAGGCAAAAACTGTTCAGTTCATATGGTTTAAGTAAGGATAAAGAAATGTATTGATTTATTTATGGTATGTAATTAACTAGCAATCACTGAACTGTACTTTCAGGTTTAATATCAACAGTACAACAGACAACCACAATACGTGCCATTTATCAAATGGTAACAAGCAACTATAAATTTCTAAATCACTTTCTGTAACTGATCCAGTGTGTGTCACGTGCTCACAGCCACCCCTCTCACAGGCCATGGGTGTGGAAGCTCCCCTTGTCTGAGTGTGCAGGACCCTCTGTCCACACCCCCTGGCTGTTGGAGACTTGGGTACCCCCATATGAGCTGGGGCCCACCAACACCTCCTGCCACGCCCAGGAGGAGACTCTGCACCCCAGGGTGTGGCTTCTGGGGGTGCCATGGTGGCTCTGGGGAAGCTGGAGGTAGCTGCTGAGGGTAACCACAGGTGGGGGGTGGCCCTGCCAAGCTCCAGCAGAGTCCCTGATGCCATGGGACCTCATCAGAACCCCTGGCACTGGGGTCTGCCCATGTCACACAGGCCTGATGGCTGCTGCCTTCACTCCGGACTTTCTGCCCCTATTGCAAGTGTTAAAGCTTTTTTCATACCCATTTTCAGGAAGGGTTCTTCTTTTTGAGATGTGTCATGGTAATTTCCTGGTTGCTACTTATACCAGCTGATGCACTCCCATTTTCAGGGGATCACTTGGGGCAAGTATCACCCTGGCAGTTTGGGTGCACTGTTTGCACACACATCTTTGTCTTAGCAGGCATTGTCATCTAGGCCCTTGCCTAGGGTGGGCTGTGCAGCCATCTCTACCTTGGTGGTGTCATAACAAAAAAATGTAATTGGTCTGAAAGAATTTCACAGGTCAATGAAGTGTTACATTTTGTCTCCAGGTGCTGAGGAAGATGAGGATAGTGCAGTGATAACAACATCCAGAACAGTTCCAAAGTTACCGACAACTAGTGATGCATCCAGGGCTGAGACCACCACAGTGAAAATGCAGACCAAGGTGCCTGCACAAACAAAGGTGCGTGGCTGGAGAGCAAGAGCATTTAAAATGATTCCACTGTACATTTTTGATGGTTTGATGTTAAGTCTTCTATTTATATGGATTAAAAAGCACCCCTAAACTTCACTTACTACTACAGCCTGCTAAATGACTACAGAAATGTTTGTTTTCATTCCTACTAGGAAGTCTGTGTGGCAACATCTGGATTTCACATGAAAGAAAAGAGAGATGCACAATAATGTATCATGATACTTTTGAGTCAGAGCTGTATGTTTTTTTATATTTCTCAAAGAGTTACTTAAAAAATCTTTGTGGAACCTTCCTTCTCAAAAGAGAATGCTGTATGGTTTGGCTGTATTTGAACACTCTGCAGGTTCCATTAAGTATTTTAGTGTTTCCTTCTACCACCATAGATGATACTGTCTAAGTTACTCTCAAAGGTGTTCTGCATATAACATGTCTGATTTGTTAATTTCAGAGTTGTTATTTCTTTCTGAGGCTGTTATTCTGATAAACACAGGCAATGTTAAGAGCTGTTTGCTAAATGTACATTTGGAGGTTTTAAACTTACGGGCAGTGTTTTTCATTCTGACATGATGACGACAAATAGATCCAATTACAATGTCTAGACCAGCTTTCTGTGCTCTAAAAGCTTCCTATGTGTTGGTATTGTGCAGTATGTGCATGAAGCCACAGCTACGTGACTGCCCACAGCAGGCAGTGACTGTGCCAGCTTGTGCTCTGCCCTCTCTGTAAGCAATGCTCAGTTTTCTTTTTTGTGCCACAGTCACCTGAAGAAATTGATAAAGAGGAAAGGCCGGAGGTGGATGGCAAGAAAAAGAGCGATGAGCCAGGGGATGACACGGATGTGCTCACTCAGAAGCACTCAGAAAACCTCTTCCAGAGAACAGAAGTTCTGGCAGGTGAGGCAGAGTTTGCCAAGGTCTATCTCACCAGAAATAAAATGGAAAACAGAGAGGATCCGTATCAAATAATGCAAGCTCAACATTTGAATTTTCTTGGCAGATTCATACCATTAAACACATTAGTACTAAGCACATTCATAGTGGGTAGCCATTGGTTGATTTGATGAGAATAAATTGGGCATCTTGGGGAAATACCTAATAGTGAAGTCTGTTGCAAATTGATATGATGCCCACAAGTTGAACACTGCTGGCTGAGTATCTGGAGCTTTCACAGCTCAGAAAAGGAGTTGGAATTTGATTCATGCTTGTAATGCAGAAATGTATTTCTCACCTCCAAGAGCACATTGCTGTCTGGTCGATGTGGTGCAGATGAGTGCTACTTGGGAGGAGCTCATGGCAGGCATGGGTGGATGGAAGGGGATGGATAGGCGCAATCCATTATGGCACAGAAATCCCTTCAGATAAATAGAGTCTATTTCTATAGACTTTATTTATAGACTCTATAATAATATATAGTCTAATATAGACTCTATTTAGAGTCTATGCATAACCCAGGGAGGCACAAGCTGGCCACTAATGTTTTCATTACCTGTGAGATTTTTTTTGGCCTAAGGACAGTCTTTACAGGTGTACTTTCCCCCCATGTATTTGGAAAGGGAGTTGGGAGCCATGAAAATCACATAGTTTTGGACCACATCTTCCTATGAGAATCAAAATGTGAAATAACCTTAAATCCACATCAGTGGAAGCATGTCGATTTCCTCTTGAAGTCTGGTTGGGAGTTGATACTTCTCACACACCCACAAATGCATGAAGTGTTCTCTCATATTATTGATCAATGGGAAGTTTATTTCAGCATATAGTCAGAGTGAAAACTGACAGGGAAAAGTAAAAGCCCATTTCTTAGCTAGGGTAACAAAATCTTTTAATGTCGAAAATGTTAACTGCTGAAAAAGGAGTTTGAAAGACAGCTTTATGCTCTGGCAGTACTAGTGGTGATCTTAGTTGAGGTTTTGAAAAAACTTTAATAGCTTTTTTAAAACTCGGTTGTTGGATCTCTGACTTGTAAGTGGAATGTAATTTTAAATGATTGCCTTCATGAATGCAAACAAGCTTTCTGACAGTATATTTCAAGATACTAATAATGAAGACAGTTGCATAATGGGAGCCCTTTCCTGCAATTTGAAAATAATGGCAAACTTACTGTGTGAGATGAAAAAGAAGTATGGTGCTAAGCTTGTTTTACTGGCATATTGTGAATCTCTGTTTCTTTGATTACAGCTGTTATTGCTGGCGGAGTTATTGGTTTTCTTTTTGCAATCTTCCTTATCCTGCTGCTGGTGTATCGCATGAGAAAGAAGGATGAAGGCAGTTACGACCTTGGTGAACGGAAACCATCCTGTGCTGCCTATCAAAAGGCACCAACTAAGGAGTTTTATGCATAAAATTCCTATTTAGTGTCTCTATTTATGAGATCACTGAACTTTTTTAAATAAAGCTTTTGCATAGAATAATGAAGTTTTTTTTTTCATTAAAGAGCCGTTATGGCACGTTTATGATAAAACCCCATTGTATTTAAAACTTTTCACATATTCGTTTAAAAATGTAAAATTAAAACTTAACATTTGCAGTGTTCTGTGAATAACAGTGGCAAAGCATTATTTTATAAAACCATTGATGTTCACTGAATGATTTTTAAAACTTTATGCATAAATATAAAATAATGAAAATTACTGTTTTATCCTATGGTTCAATGAAAGTTGTTTAATTTTGGTCAGCATGTCTCAGATTGATCTTACAAGTTAGTTTTTATTTCATTAATTTATCTGTTTCCAAAAAAGGCCTTTTTGTAGTTGTCATGGTGCAATTTGTCTTCAGATAATTCAGATAACAGTAACTTTTAGTGTAAATGTAATTTTTCAGCTATGTAAACTTCAACCTCCACTTTGTATAAATTTAAGTGTCAGAATATCAATTTTACACTTTGCATTGTTTCTCAGCTTACCTGTAGCTTCAGTGAGATTTGTAACAGCAATTAATGTGTAAAATTGGATTATTACTACAAACTGTATAGTCATATTCTTACTAAACAAATCTCCTGTAAGGAAGATTTGTAGTAAGCTACTGACGAACTTAAGCAAACCCAAAGACTCTAACAGTATTTTGAGAAGTTGCTGCAGATTTCTATGGCCACTGTATTTGTTAATTATTTGCAATTTGAAGGTACAAGTAGAGGTTTAAATTTTTGTTCTTTAAAAATGCATTTAAGTTGTAAACGTCTTTAAAGCCTTTGAAGTGCCTATGATTATATGTGACTCGTTGCAGACTGGTGTTAATGAGTATATAACAGTAAAAGAAAATGTTGGTATTTTATAAGCACAGACAATTCTAATGGTAACTTTTGTAGTCTTACATGGATAGACATAATTGTAATTTGGGAACATAAACACTACTGAATAAATCATGTGGCCTAATACTGAGAATTCTATTGTGATATACTTTTGTATGATTTTCATTTTATGTCTGTTTGCTCATGTTTTAATGTCACAGAGTACATCTAGTAGATCTTAAAAATCCAGACCAAAAAAGAAAGGCTGTTGATGAGGGTGATCCTCACACCAGATTTACTGCTAAGGTGGCAGAGCGAAGTGGGATGTTTTAGTCTTGCATCTGGTGTATTAGCTGTGAGACATTTGACTTCTGCATTGTGTTTAATGGCAGTGTTGACACAGGCCTGTTCTTCCTGCAAATGTTGTTTTCCCTACTGTAAATTTCAGAGGAGTACCCCAGTTCATTTACTGTGTGTATTTGTTTTTTATTTGTTGGTCGCGTTTGTTTTTTCCCGGTCCCTTTGAAAAATTTTGGTTTGTTCTGCTCAGACTCCAGCAGAAGAGTTGAGACAAGTGGAATGTCTTCATAAGAGAAGAAAGAAATATTCTGAGTAGAAGAGAGAAGTGTCTGTTGCTTAGACCTTAGATAGGTGCTGGATAGAGGGACACAGGGAGAAGACGACAGTCTGCCTCCTTATATTATGCTTTGTAACAGACAAATGGCTTCGTCTTCTGCTCTGCTGACCTCCTGGTTTTTTATTTTTGAGATTCCCAAAATACAGGTGTTCAGGATGTCAAGCTGAAGTGCTTTTCAGAAATGGCAATGTATTGTAAATAAGATCTGGTAGCTCTTCAGATAAGAGTTGTGCAGCTTTTATTTGTTGCTGTCCCAAGTTCAGTGGTCATTTAGGAACCAACGAATGCTATCCTGTGCTAAAATAATTAATATATTGCTTTTTACTTAACTGGCAAGTTTTTCAAAGCCATACAAGTTCAGCAAGTAAAAACAGGGTAAGAATTTAACAGGTATATCTTGTGCAATATTTAGTGAACTTCAATTAGTAAAATAACTGCTTGAAATAACTGTGCCAAGAAAAGAAAATTTCTGGCAAATGCTGTGCCACTGCTGTAAAATAAAGCATTTGTTAAAGTGCCAAAATAAAGTCTACTATGCCTAAACTAATACTTTATTTGTATAGTCTGACATCCAGTTTTTTGAAGCCCACTTTGCTTAAAGTAGTAGATCTGAATTTCTTTCAAGGGTGCAATGAATATTGCTGTAAGTATAGCTATAAATATTAAACACCAGATAAGCTGTCTTCTTGTTCATAAGCAAATTGATAATAAGTAGTGTTTTGATTTTATTTATGTATGTTAGACTGCCTCTATATCTACTGTACAGGCCACTTTATCCAACATAGACATCTGTTGTAATTATGCAGACTAGCAAATATTATGCTTGTCTAGTTCCTCCTGCATCTGTTTACAAACAGAAGCAAAGGTAAATTTTCAGCTTTATTTCACCATTCGCCTTTTTTTTCCTGCACATTCATTATCCACTCTGTTATATGCAGAAGAGGTTTAGTGCTTCAGCTGTGTGCATGGAACTGAAATGTTGCAGTCTTCCCACCCTCCCTAACAAAAACCTGAAACCTTTGAACATGCAGTAGGTGTGTTAATAGGATTTATCATCTCATGATCTCTTTGCTTTTCTGTTTTCAGTGCCAAACCATACTATTAGGGAAAAATTCTAACAGTTATCATCTTAGTTACAAACATAACTTCAGTTTTCATCAGTCTGATGCAGACACTGCACTCCCAGCAATGCTGTTCAGAAGAAATTGGCAACCCAATGTGTGTCTCTTATGCTGAGGCTTCCTAGCACGAGTTGGTCTTTGGTTTCCTTTCCCTTTTGTTCTCTGCTTCCTGGATGTGTTTTAGCAATACTCTGGCTGCTGGTGGATGTTGCTGGGCAGCTGGCAGTCTGGGTGCCAGGCTCTGGTGCTGCGCCACCTGCCCTCAGCTAGCCATGGCTTTTCCTAGAGACCCTTGGCTCTGCTCTGCCAGAGCCACTCTAGCAGCTCTGGAATTCCTCAGCAATCTGATACAGTGTCTCCTTGTGATTGATAAGCTCTAGTGTTTATCAAAGTGTCATTTTGCTTTGATTTACCCTGGGTTATAAATTGTTACTTCCTCTTCGATTCTTAGTAAAAGAAGCCAAATAGAACTAGTGTAAAGCTTACGTGAAAGAAGGCTCTCACCTCTGCTGTATTCGTGGCAAAATAACTTCAGAAGTTGGTACATGGTTCCTCTGCTTGCCAGCTTTATGAGTGAATTGTAGCTCTTCGTTACAAGCTGCGTAGCTAGTTTTTTCTTCACTTTGAGCATTGCACTTCACTGAAATAGGATAAATTAAAATAAAAATGGTTCTCTTGCATCTCCTAACAAGAGAGTAACTTTGACTAGTTGTTCTGTTTTTTTTTTACTTAAAGCTATGTATGGAAGGGATGGTGAAGTGCAGTCTTAAATGACAGATACTATTCTTCAGCAACATATGGAGTACAGGAAGCTTTTGTAAGGAAACAAGTACCCAGATAAATATTAAATAAAAGCTATTGGAGTGAGGCAGATTATGTATTATGCTGGGTATTTATTTATTTTGCTTAAGTAAGCAAGGGAGGAGGAATCCAAAGAGGAAAGCTCTGTGTGAAAACCATTATTCTTATAGGTGGAAATCATGTAGCAATTTTTTTTAGACTTTAGCACTTGCTTAATCATAATTTCCTTTAAGGAAATACTTGCTGTCCACTTTTAATGAGCATTAATATTAATTTTGTTACACTTAAACTCTGGTCTGTGTATCCCAGAGCTTTGAACTTTGGTGCGAAAGCTCCGTGCTGGGAACCTTTAGAGTATTGCCTTTCCAAAACTTCCATGAGGCTGAGCGAACACAACTTTGCTCTACAGTTCATCTGAGAAAAGACACAGCTAGTACACCACTCCCTGGCATGTCTTCTGCTTCTGGGATGGTTCATGGCTGGAGCAGGAGAGGGGAGTGCTGACATGTGCATTTGATTTCCTCACAGCTCTCAGGCTGACCAGGCACTGGGTTCAGCTGCGTGGGTGGGAGTGGGGGATCAGTAACCCAACCCTGCCAGGGGAAAAAAGATGCTTTGCTGAGGTTTCTTCTTCTGTGAAGTAAAGTAAGTTGTGTATTTTTTGCTTTGAAATCAAATAAATGATAAAATTTAAGCTCAGTAGAGCTAGAAATGGAGATGTTGGTGCCTGCCCTGGCCCTTGTGAACCAATTTCACATGCGCATCAGATGTGCCAAGTAGCTGCTTACGTGGGTGGAAATCTGAAAATCCCTCTGTGTACTTGAAGTACCTGAGTTTACTTTATAGCAGGAATGAGGGGGAGGGGACAGGGCTCCTTTAAAACTGCAGACATTAACTGGGGGTGAGTGGAAAGAAGGCAGGAAGAGAAACTGTCCTGACAGCCCTTGTTTTCCACTGAAAGTTATAAGGCATTTTGTTTTCTTGAGCTGTTCCCACTGCACTGGAATTGTCCTTCACAGAGAGAATTTGTAGGCAGGAGAGCGAGCAGGTGCTGGTGTCACACCCTGACAGACGCTCCTGGGTGCAGACAGCTTCCCAGCACAGCAGGGAATGTCTCCCATCACAGCTTCTGCTCGTGGCTCTACCCTGGAATTCTGGCTACAGCAAAGCAGGTGAAGGACCTGCAGAGTTGACCCTGCCCATATCCTGCTGCCTGCACAAGGTGCTGGGAGGCTGGCAGGAGGCTGTGGTTGGGGTGCTGGGCTGCACATGGAAGGCTCTGGGTTGCCTGGTCCCTGGGAGGTGGGAAGAAAGGGATGAGATGTGCAACAGGGGCTTTGCTGTTGAGACATGCTGTGCCTATTGAAGCACCTTTCCATTTCTTTCCCATGCTTGGAAGATGTCATACTTTCACTACATTGGACTCTTGATACATCTTTTGGTGGCATAGCTTGCACAACTCTTTAGTTTTTTAATTCAAATTGCAGCTTTAAATCTGTAGATGTAATAGATTTGTAGAATGCTGTAGTTTTACTGAGGCTGGGTGCCTCTGTCTCTCATGACTAAAGGTCAGGTCCAAAGAATTCCTCCATCCTGGCAGTTCAGCCCTGGCCTGGAATGAGAGGAAGTAGGAATGTTTGTGAAAAACTTCCAGAAAAATATTGCAAAACCTGTAATAGTTTGTTGAAAATAAACAGAGCCCAAGTTCTCTGTAGGGGGTGACTTTAATTAATTTAGATTTCTTTGGGGCATTATGCAAGTTTTTTTCCCATGGATTTTTATTTGATGAATGCAGAGGAAGCTTCTGATATTTTTCTATGTTTAATCCAAGCGCTGACGTATAAGGAACAATAATTCCACCAGGCAACCTACTTGAAGTTTATCTAGTGGTGGGAAACTAAGCTCAGTGGAGGAAAAAGCTCTGTGTCCTAGTTACCCACCCACCTTGTATGGCCATATGTAGTCCTGGAGAGTAAACAAAGTTTGGTACCCATTTTCCTAAGTTCCTGTGGTGGAATGGCAGCTTTTTCTAAACACTGCAGGTCCCCAAAGGATACCAAAGAGAAACGAGAACAGACTTTCTTTTTGATGTTTTTGTGTCATAACCCATAATACTAACACCCATCTCCTTCCTACTCCCCTTTCTAAGTATAGCAGCAGGGAGAAGTCAAAAACCATCACACTAAATGGTACTGAAAGAATGTAAAACAGCCCAAAGTGCAGTTTTCATCATTCATCCCCATAATTTTCAATACCACAGAGCAAACACAAGAGTCTCTTATGAAAGGAACAGAAGCAGAGCATGTGCTTTCTTCTGGAGCAGCCCACAGTGCCAGATGAGTTACTGCTGACGTGGGAAAAGTCTCAGATGGCAGAGGGAAGGGCTCACTCCTGCTCAGACCAAAAAGCCTGAATGAAGGACCCTGCCTTGCTGTATTGCCTCACTGCCAGGCTGGCAGCTCTGCCACTTCTGTGCTGGTGAGCCAAGATTTCAGGAGCAGTTCTAGTGAGTCTTCATGATCTGAGCTCCATCCTGCAGAAAAACCTTCCCTGAGAATCACTGTAAACTTAAATTATTGACTACAATCAAAGCAGCAGCTAGATACTTGTTTTAAATAATCAGCTTTCACCCTGTTTTGCATTTGCTCAGATATTTTCCTACAGAAAATTTATTTTTATTGGCTGGTAAACAAGATGGCTTGTTAACTCACAGTTTATTTAATCTTTACACTAAATTTTACTCTGCAGTAGTACAGACTATTTTCATACTTACACCATTACAAAGCTTAACTTCCATTTTTTATATTTTATTTTTTCCATTCTGTTATGTTAAAATAGTAAATATTTATTTATCAGCTAATTCAGTTTATGGCTTTTATTTGTTTCAACTTGCTTTTCAATGTAAATTGAGAATTCATTATGAATACATGAAATTAGCACTTCTTATAAAATAAAATACATTAGGCCCATCAGAACAAAGATAAGCAAAACTATTTTGACTATAAAGCAAATTGTGCAATTATTGTAATTTATTTATTACACAGAAGCACTTCTGCTAGTTACTGAATTGAGTAATTCTAATCACAATGTCTGTTATTTAGAACCAGCAACTCTCAATCTGTCTTCTCTTTTTATCATAAGCAGGAGAAGTAGAAGCTTTCCTCTTTTTCAGCTTCTAAGTGGTTTTATAAAAAAAACCCCAAAAAAAACCCAAAACTGAAAAAAATATACCTACAGAAGAGCTAGGAGTCTAAAATTTTCTTTTATCATCTCAAAAATCAGTTACAGGTGCCCAGCCATGTGACTTCTCCCAGTTCATGGTTTGATTTTTGTAAAAGCTCTAGCAATAGAAATCATAACTTTTTCTCATCCAGTCTGTCCTTTTTATCATACACTTTCAGCTACTAAAAGCCAAGCAGAATTTTACTTCAGCCTCTCCTAATGGGACTTTTAATGCAGATTCTGAAATTCCATAGACTTGTTCACCTCTGGCTCTTCTAAGAAATGCTGTACCTGTTCTTAAAGAAGCAAGATGTTATTTTAGACAATCTTTCAGTTTATAGAATTTGCACTTTTCAGCGTTTATCAAAACTTTCAAACCATGATCAGACAGACTTTGCAAATTTGAATAGAAATCACACCACCTTCTATATATACACCACAGAGGATCAGGAATCCAAAATTTTAGTTAGTCTTGGAACACATTAAATCTCTTGCAGAGTGACTTTTTTTTAAGTTTAAATGATTAATGTGTGACTTTAACAGCCTGTTCGGGGTCTTGAAGTTAAACCTAGAATGAGATATTGGTGAAGCTAGGTCTCAAGGCATGAATCCACACATTGTGTCTGTGCTCAAAACGTATCACAAAACAAAGCACCCTCACTTCTGAGCCTGTTCAGATGATAACAAGCTATTTTAGCACGGAGTTTCTGTGCATCTGTCTAGTATCTGCCACTCCAAGAACATTTCCCTTCCCAGTAAAATGGCTGGCTGAAGCTTACTGAGAGAAATCACACTTCTACTCAGCCTCCCATCTGCCTGTAAGATGGAGGTTTCATGTTCACATCCTGTATGAACAGTAATGTGAACACATCCTGTGTGAACACTAATATGAACACTAATGTAATGTGTTCATAGAATCATGGGGTGGTTTGGATTAGAAGGGATGTTTAAGATTATCTAGTTCCAACACCCCTACCCTGGGCAGGGACCCCTTACACTAGACCAGGTTACTCAGAGCCCCGTCCTGGCCTTGAGCACCTCCAGTGATGGGCACGGGGGTCTGTTCAATACAGTTCAATTCAGGCCAAGTCCAGAAATAAAGCATGTATTTTATCTGCATTTTAAAAACTATCCATTAATTTAAACTTGTCTGGGACAAATATGGGTGGAATAAGTCAAATTTGGATTTTGAGTAATTTGAACCTGGATTTTATCCTCACTAAAATACTGAGAAGAATGAAGGTACCTAGCTCTAGGGAAGAGAGTTCTTGAGAGAAACTATAATTTAATTGCTGCATTGCAAGGAAAGCTCTTTGGGGCAGTATTTAATGTATTTTTAATGCAAATATGTGATAATTGATGTCAAGACATGCAAATACACTTGTATATAGCTGGACCCATTGCTACCTGAAAACTGAAAATCCGCAGGAATGAACAGGGCTCCTTGCATGTCTGGTTTTATATCAGGTGCCTGTGCTCTGTTTTCCCTCCATGGCAGCACAAGTCACACAGTTTATAAGGAGATTTGAGTGGGAACATGTTCCACCAATTTTTACCCAAATCCTGTCTGTGATATGGCAAACCCATTGCCCCTCTAAGAAAACATGTAGTAGTCTGCAGGAGAAATCACCCTGCCAGACTGTGTCTTTAGTAGCAAGTTTTGCTGCCAGAACTTTTGTGGGGTCATAAGCTGCAGACATTTTTATGTCCCTGGAGCACGTGTGTTCACCATGGCTTTTTGGAGATGCTGTATGCCCTCGCTGCAAGAGGCTGTAACAGCAGAAGGGCTTGCAGTTGCCAGGAGCATGAATACAGTGGCATTTTGCTGCTGGCTATTTTGGCTGGTGTTATTCAGAGAGGAGACTTCACTTTGGCAGGAGAAGGCTCATTTTGCTGGCTTATATCAACTTTTGTTGGCTTATATCAGCAATGCAGAGAAACCTGAGGCAACCAAGGTTGACTTCTGACTGGGAACCTGCATTGTACTGGCCAGGTTGCAGCTATGATGTGTCCCAAGCAAGGAGCCCCTACCAACCCACTGCTGGCAGGTGTTCTCACCTGATGATCTGATCTTGATACCTGAAATAAGCAAGTCTCTGACACAACAGCAGAAAAGCAAACAGACCTGTGTAGAAAAATACATGTCTGAGGTACTTACTATTTTTCTTTCACAATGTCTCTGCTTTTTTCCTCTGTTCTGTGCTTTACTAGGATATATTTATTTGCTTCTAGGCTGCATAAATAGAGACATATAACTCATGATCAAACTTAAGTACTTCCTTCTACAAAGAACTGAAGAAAAATTACTCTTTGAAACTTGAGAGTAATTATTTTCAACTCCTTTGACTGAAAAAAAAAGAAGGGGAAATAAAAGCTGAAGTCTGCATTAATTAGCAATCCATTTTTACCTGTCTACAGTGCAAAGCAACAGAAAAAAGCTTTAAATGAAGAAAACATCTTGTAGTGATACTAAAATCCATTGTGAACTTAGAGGAGACTTTTGGGAGACTGAGTCAAAAAATAAAAAATGCTACGCTAAAGTAAATAAATGTCATAAAATGATAATTGAGAGCATACCCCTAAACAAGGGTAACTGGTATATTGGTAATTCTTCAGTCTGGTATAGTGTGCTGCCACTTCAAACACCTTTTGTATTTGGTCCTGTGCTGGCAGCTTTTCAAAGGAATCTCATACTTTCTTCCCTCCCCCTCTCTACTTTGCATAATAATTAGTATGTGAATATGCTTGTGATTTCTTCTTATTATTTTAATACAGTCACATTTTAGAGACTTCAATAAAGTTCGGAGGACAACCAAAGCAGTTCCTGCTCTGAAAGCCATACAGTCTAAATGGAGTGGAAAACCAAAGCACAGCAAAGTAGCATCATGTCACTCCCCCTTCTTTGCAGGGAGAAACCTTGTACCAAGCAATTTCCATCAGAAGAGATTCAGGAGCCGCTCAGGCAGTGACTGTTTTGTGCCTAACACCACACTCCACCAGTTGCTTCATATGCTGTACAATAGGAGGTGAAAAAATCCAACAGTAAGTAGTCTCTTATGTCCTCATTTTAGGTTGAATTGCCCTTTCCAGGAGCTAGGTACCAGATTATTCCTTGAAGCACCAAGTTTACAATCAGATGATTCTGATTATTATTGACATTCATATATATCCAATCCCTATCTTTAATAATAAATTCTTTACTCTGACACTGTTTCTACCAGTATAATCACAGCAGTCTTGTACAAAAGATGCATCCATACAGAGCCCTTCAAGCACCTGATAGTCTTTATGAGTTCAAGAGTATGCAAGATGCATGACAAAGATGATTTCTGGATGGTGGGGCTGGGATCTTGCCCAATATAGTAGCCTATAAAGTTTGTGAAACTGATCACAAGACTCCTCAGCTCCAGACTCTCCCAGATTTACAATTACAGTCCTGAGTAGGGAAAACCAAGCAATCTGAAAGTCCTGAGGTTGTAAACAAATCTGTGTATTTAGTGAATAATGCAAAATGGAGAAAATCACGTAAGAGGTGGGTGTAAGGGAAATACCTTTCCTGAGGCTAAATGAATATTGATGTGTTTCAAACCTGTAAACAGATTTGTGCATGTTGCTGGCTGAAGAGGAGTGGAGCTCTAGGTTTTGCTGTTATGCCTCTTAACTTGCTTTTGCCACTCCTCTGGCAAGGACAGCAGAAGACTAAAGCACTGAGTTCTCTGCTCTCTGACCTGGGATTAATGACAGCTACACCAAGATATCTCTCTCCTTCTGACTATTTGATGAAGGAGAAAAAAAAGATGGCCTGACTCTCATCTTCTTGGTAGAGAAGGATTAACAAAGGAAGCTAATTAAGAAAAAATAATGAGAAACCAGTTGGGTGAAGTGATTTAATTGCTAGGGGAGCAAGTGAAAAGAAATCACTCTCATGAATCGATTTATATACTTTATATACTGCAAAAACAGTTTTACATGAGCTTGTTGATGAAGGCATGTCCTGTGTTCTCTTGCTGAAAGTGAAAAGGAAGGCTGTACATTGGTAGTTAACTTCAAGGTGTTGTGGGTGTAACAGCCAAACTTTGAGTATAGAATATTTTCTTGCATGACTTTCATATTTATTTGTGACATATTTATCACATTAATCACTGTATAATTTCATTCCAGAGGTACAGTACTAGATAGATACTTACAGCTTACAGGGTACTACATATAAAGAATATCCAGAATGTGCAGCTAAGAAGGAGCCAGACAGGAAAATATCTGACAGCCTTTTCCTTGTGTAATATTTTTGTTGAAGCAGTTGTTCTGTTACCCTCAATGGAATAGGACTCTTAAGGACTGTGGCAGTTTGAGAAATATGTTGTTTCATCCCACCAGCGTGCTCCCTGATCTGTATTGCAGAGCACAAGGTTCTAGCTGCAAAAACATACTGTTCAGATGCTGTACTGAAAAATACAAGTGAAAAAATACAAATGAGTCACCTCAAATACAGAGGTGGAGTCAGGTTGGCAGGATCAGCCATTATCTTATAATAATGTGTTTCAAACCCCTCCTCAAGGTACACACCCATGAAGCTCATTAGTGTAACAGTCATTTCACTGAGGCAGAAAGTTCATTAATATTGGAATACGGTGGTGAATATTAGAGGGAAATTCTTCAATGTCTTCCTACTACAGCAGCTTTTTGGAAATGCACCAAGGGCTTTGATCCTAAAAACCCTTACCTCTAAGCACCTGGGTAGTGCCATTGACTTAAACAGAATAAAATGAGAGCTTTAATTCAAGTGTTTGCAGATTAAGACCCATGTTTATATTTTAAGATCTTATCTACAGAAGAAATTGCACTCATTTACCTAAGTGTTTTATAAACACACCTTTATTTAAATGAGTGCAATGTTACTTCTGCAGGTGGCCACCATCTGAGGAGCAAGGGCCCTGCCACAGTTCCCAGGAGCATGAAGGCAGCAGGAAAGGCTCTCAGACAGCTGGAAAACATCAGTGAACTACACAAGCAAGAACTGCCATGCTCTCAAATAGTCAGAAGGATGCGGCCACTGTGCAGCCAGCAGGAAAGGCTCCTCATGCTTCACCCATTTTCCATGTGCCCTTGCACCAATATCACACATTCCCTGTAAAAGTACAATCATAGAATCATCACAGCATCACAGAATAGTTTGGGTTGGAAGAGATCTCAAAAACTGTCTCATTCCAATCTCCTGCCATGGGTAAGGACACCTTCCAGTAGATCACGTTGCCCAGCGCCCCATCCCACCTGGCACTGAATATTTCCAAGGATGGGGCATCCGCAACTTCTTTGGGAAGCAGCTTCGTCCAACGCCTCACCACCCCCACAGCCCCTCGCACCGAAGTTCTAAGTCCCCTGCAAGGCCCGCTGGTGACGGATGATGTTTTTCAGGCCCCCGGGCCTGGGCGGCAGCGGCCGGGCCGGGCCCGCCTGGCCTCGGGGCGGGCTGCGAGGCGCCAGGGCCGGGGACAGCGGCGGCTCCTGGGCGGCGGCCGGGCCCTCCCAGCCCGCGGCGGCTCCGCCTTCCCCGTCCGCAGCCGCCCGGGTCTCAGGGCTGTGCCGGAGCCGCCGCCCGATCTGCACGGGGAAGGTGCGTGTTTGCTCTGCCCGCTGCCTCATCCTCCTCCTTTTCCTCCTCCCCCTCGCCGCCGCACTAGGCGTTCCCCCGGGTTGCCGGCGCTCTCCGCCGGGCTGCAGCGCTTTTTCGGGAGGCTTCTGCTCCGGAGAAAGAGCACCTCGCCGCCATTCCCGGGCCCAGCCCCGGCTCCTTGTCCTGCGGTGGAACCGTGCAGCGTGGGCTGCCTTTCCCCACCCCGCAATGGGGCCTTCGCCCGCTGGGCCGCAGCCCCGGTGCTGCCGGCCCTGCCCGGGCTCGGCGGGCCGGAGCCCCCAGCCTGGTAGCGGGGCTCGGCCCCGCCTCGCTGTGTCTGCTGCTCGCCGTTTGCTGCAGGGGTGACTGACCCCAGCATGTCGTACTTCAGGAGCGTGGATCCATTGGTGACACAGCAGAAAAAGATCTGGAGGTGCTTGTCGACAGCTGGCTGAACGTGAGCCAGCAGTGAGCCCAGCGGGCCAAGGAAGCCAATGGCATTCTGGCCTGTATCAGCGAGTGTGGCCAGCAGGAGCAGGGCAGGGATTGTCCCCCGGGACTCTGGTTAGGGGCACATCAAGCACTGCATCCACTTCTGGGCCCCTCAGTACAGGAAAGACATTGAGGGGCTGGAGAATGTCCGGAGAAGGGGCGGGAGCACAAGTCCCATGAGGAGCAGCTGAGGGAGCTGGGGGTGTCCAGCCTGGAGAAAAGAAGGCTCATGGGGACCTTATCATTCTCTACAACTACCTGAAAGGAGATTGTGGCCACATGGGGGTCAGTCCTGTTTCCCATGTAACAAGCGACAGGACAAGTGAACGTAGCCTAAACTGTGTCAGGGGAGTTTTAAGTTGGACATTGGGAGGAATGTCACAGAAAGAGTGATTAAACATTGGAATGGACTGCCCAGGAACAGGTGGAATCGCCATCCCCAGAGGTGTTTAAGGAAAGACTGGATGTGGCACTTTGTGCCAGGGTCTAGTTGATGTGATGTTAGGTCAGAGATTGTACTCAAAGATCTCAGATCTTTTCCAGCCTAATTGATTTTGTAATTCTATGAAACAAAATCTTTGCTCACCCACTTGTTCCTCTTAATTTAAAAACAAATATGTACTCAAAGTTGGCAGTCACACAGTGCTTGGGGGGTGCATTGTCAGTGTTAGGTAAAGCGTGATGCTCTGCCATGATCCTGAAGTGAGCAAAGTTGACAGCAGTCGCTGACCAAAAGCTAAAAAATATATAAATATTGTGAAAATAATATATAAAAATATTTAAAAACATATCAAGAAACATGAAAAAGATACAAGTTCTGTGGGCTGAATTAGATTTTACTAAGGAAGCATTATATGCAAAGGAACCTTTTGAATGTAGTGTGCCAAGTTGTACATGTGCTCAAAACTACAAAAGAACAAATTCAAGATACAAGCATAAGAATTCAATTTGTGTATTAATTACTTGTTTTTTCCTCCAAACTGCAATATTTTGAGGACTTGACTTTATCAAGTGCTGCATGAGCACCAAAAGTGCCTGCTTAGACAGTGCCATGCACAAAGGCACCTAAAATCCTAATGTCTTGTTATTGAGCCCTAATTTCAAAATTTTGCCTGTTATTTTCGCTCTGTTCAAAATTAGATTAGTTTTTACTAATTTTTTGTTTTACTAGTTTTTACTAATTGTTTGTGGAGATAGTTCTCTAGAACTGTTGTAGGAGTGTTGTAATCTATTGATTAAAGGAGAGCATGCGAGTGTTTCTTCTTACAAAGCAATATTTGGCTTGGCTGTAGAGCAGACTTCCTGTGTGGAAATGGAATAACTGCTTGTATCTTCATCTATCTGTATCTCTCTATTTTAGCCTGTGAAAATTTTCAAGATTTAAGTTAGGGCGACAAAAGCTGGCCTTGATTTTGTTCTGGTTAATTTTTTGCAGGGATGAAAGCTTTTATTAGAAGTCTTTCTCATGCTTACCTGTCAGTTCTGAAAATCACCTTCCAGTCTCGTCTGCTGCTCCTTCTGTTGGATTATTGATTTTAATAAAATCTCAGGCCCTTATTTCCTCAAAGAAGCTCCACAAAGCCTGCCATGTGCATGAGAGTTCTTACATCCCTTTTTTCCTTGTACATTTTGTCTAATTCCCTTAGACATATCCTCCCTAGGTTGAATAGCATCTATCCTTGCAATCAGTTTTACTTTACTCCAACTTCTGTCTTTCAGATGAAGGCTGTGCAGATAAACTTGGATCAAAGCCACCACAGCTTTAGAGATTCATACAAAGCCTTTGTCTTACCTGATCTTGTTTCTTGGTGTTTAAAATACATATAATTCTTTTGAACAGCAAAACAATAAGATACTGAATCAGATAAGAACAGATTGCAAATCTGGGCTGGGGAAGAACAACCTGTCATTGACCCCTGTTGGGAGACATCTGTTAGCAAAAGCTCATATAAATCTGTATTTGTTTTATAACACGATTTTGCAAATGCCTGCATGTCTTTAATGCTGATTTGAGAAAGGAAGCAACTTGTAATATCTTGATATAATTGCAAAAACTCATAATGAACATGGGATTCTTTTATCTATTCCTGTTATATTGTATAAAACTTTCTTGTTTTAAGGTTGAAAACTTTGCCTTGTCATTTCTTCCTTTCTTCCCGATTGTGGGAGGATGAAGATGAAGAGTGGCAGTACATCTAAGAGGTAGCAGCTGCAGGGGTGAAATATTTTGCCTAAAGAAGCACTTTGTGGGTAGAAATGTACAAAACGATTACAGTCTTGAAGCTCTACAGTTCTTTCTGTTCTGTCTCGACAGGAAATATTATCTGTCAAAAACTGCATTGCAGTAATCTTTCACTTTTTTGTTACCAAATGTCTGCAGTAATCTCAAAGTAGTGAAATAAATGTAAATTCTTTCTTCAGCTGACCCCAAGTCACTTACATTTTCACTGTGACGGCAGTAGTGAAGTTTTAGCTCAGATTTGTAATCTCTTAAATGCCAGTTATTCAATTAAGTCAGTATTTTTGCCAGAATCTTTGAAGAATGCTTTGCTCTTTTTTGTTTCAGTTTTACAGTACAAGAGAAAACTGTATGTGAGCTTGAGAAAAATGTTAACCTTGTTAGCCTGTAAAGAATATTAGCCTTTTTTAAAAAATGGTAATCTGGGTACCTTGGTCTTACAAGAGACTTGATTTCTGATATTGAGATAGAGAGAATGGACCGATGGTGGGAGGTTTGCTTTTAATCTGTCTGTCTACCTACCTACCTACCTATTTTTTTATTTAATGGAGAATATTCAGACACCTGGCTCATTTGGATTCTTTCATTTTTTTCTGTACTGGTATTAATAATAGTAATATTTTATCAGACTCTTTAGGTCTAACTAAGATAGGCCTCTTCTATTAATTTTCTACACAGTGGATGAGAGAAAAATGTAGAAATCCCTTTGGTGCTGTTGCTGCCAAGAGAGACTTGATGGAAGTGTCTAATGAATAGACATGTAGATTAAAATACATCTCTAAGAATTTATGTATTTTGGCAAAGTGTTTTATTGTACTACACACTGCAATCAGAGGTATGGCAAAAGACTTGTGATCTTACAACCTGACTTTAAGAGAATACTAATGCTGTTTTAAAAAAGAAAATGTATCAGTCAAATTTATCTCAGTTCTCTGAGATAAATTTTAAATCAATGATCATTATGTTAGAGTAAGAGGAGGTTAATCTCAGGTCACCTATCAGACATTCCTTGCATCATAGGAGTTATAAACAACTAAGATTATTTTAAACTTGCCTGAGTGACCATCTTGCATTCAGTACAACAGTGAGAGTTTCTACAGGCTCAGGATTTGCCCAAACCTGGTTTCTGACCCCACAGACTTATCATCTTGTCCAACTGAGACTTGTTGTCACCCTTTTAAAGCCTGTTTTAGGACTGATATTAGAGCACAGTTGTGGGTTTAAATCTGTTGTTCTCTATGTGTTTGGGCTTACTTCTTTCTTTCTTTTTCTCAAGTTGCTGGTTAAGGTGACTGATCTTTTACTTCAATGTAGTGAAATTACATTTTCTGTTTGAATACACTGTATGAAAGGGAATGAGACCACTCTTCTGTCCTCCCTGAATTTTTCTAGCTTTCATCTGCCACATGCACATTGATGCACTGTGCCTTTAATTTTTTGTGAGTTTTCTTTTTTTTCCCAGAGGAGGCACTTGACTATGAATTTACTTAAAGCAAGTGAGTCCAAAGGAATTTTATGTTTCAAGTAGCCCCAAGAAAAGGTGCTTATATAATATTATGCATGTGTCAATAGTAATTTGAGAAAGAAATCTTCTTTCTGGAGGTCTGATATAATCTGAGCCCATAGTCTCCATTGGGAAAGCATGCAGCATTTTATTTGTGACATTTGCCGACCAGAACTTAAATTTGATTTGTCTTAAATGGTTTCCCCTTCTACTCTGCACACGTTTTGAGATTAGTGTTTCTGATTCTGTTGGTTTATACTGTTTTGAATCACAAGGCCGATCAAGTTCTCTTTCTGGTCATGTTCTCCTGTACAAAACACAGGTCCTCTTTTGTGGCAGACTATGAAACACTTCTTGGAGTTTCAGTTTAATGAAACTGAAGTTTATTGTTTTGGAAGCAGAAAGAATTGGAAGCCACTAATTTCTTTGAGATTGACCATATGATCAATCTTTAAGAATGATTCTGTATATTACTGCAGTGGGCTATTAATATTTTCTCCTATGACAACTAGGTAAAGCAGACAAGTGCAATACTAATCTCAGGTAATTTGTTCAGTGCTGTTGAAAAATACACAGAGCAGACAATATCTGCCTCAGCA